AAGATGAATGCTATCATTTGCTCTTTTTCTTCTTGTTCTTTTCTTTTTTTTTCTTGTCCTTTCTTTTCTTTTCTTTCAAATGTCATGAAAGGCAATGAGAAAGCAATTTTAATTATTTGTATTTATTTGTTATATGTATATTTACATAATCAGGAAAATGAATTATTTCTATATTATTATATACTATAATATTGTTTTTTATTTTGTAATCTTATTTTCTCATACAATAATTGATTGATTGATTGATTGATTGATTGATTGATTGATTGATTGATTGATTGATTGATTGATTGATTGGTTGAAGAGGCACTGCATGAAATAGTATGGTTTTAATTTTAGGAATATTATGAATGTGACCATTTGCGGTTTTCTTAGACAGTGAAAAGTATTTTGACAGTGAAGCCTTACTTAAAAATGAAATCTCATGGCATAAGATAAAATATCAAACAAAGCACTTTTTTCTTTAAAGAATGATAGTATACTTTTAAAGCATGATATGCCTTACCTTTTTTTGCAAGGACTTTTAACTAACTGGTCTCCATCGTATATGTCTAGCATCAATTTGACATTTTAGCATCTTATGTTGCTAGCATTATTTGTTTTATTTGTGTGCAAATGCTACATGGATTTATATTGTGTTATCTAATGCAATAACATTCAGACATTTTTAAGTTTGACTCAGTAGTAGGCCTATGTGTGTGTGTGTTAGACAAGAGAAACTAATATCTACAGGTTTAAATAATTTGTATTTATTCATTTGAAACAATACAGTTAAGCACACTCATAACAAATGTCATTAATACAAACATGTTACATGATAGAGAACTTGACCAATCAGACACTCCACTATACAAAAATGAGCCAATCAGAAACATGCTGAGATATCATAATCAGCTTGGCCTAAGCTTGAGAGGGGCGCAATATTGAGATGACTTTTCTTAAGAGTCACACACAACCTCTCTTACACACTCACACATTAGAACACACACATCGAATAGTTATGCTGATTTATTCTCTCAGCTTCACAGGATCAACAGTGCTAGTGTTAAGGCAGAATTGCAAATCCTAATTTACCTCCCCATTTCTCAGCATGTGCACACACACTTAGACACACACACACACACACACACACACAGCTCATTTTAAACATACACACAATCTTCTGTTGTTAGTGTGTGGGTTTTAGCGTGCCATAGATAAGTACTTGTACAGGCATTAAGAGCTCTGTTCCAAAACCTAGTGAGCTGCCTTGTTGTCTACTAACTATAATGCCTATAGGAAGCTGCCTTCTAATAGTGTCCGAATTATGATTGCACCGCATGAGGGGATAACTTGGAATGTGGCACAAAATATGATAGATTTGACTCACAATAGTCTAGAGTCAGTATGGTGCTGAGACGATGATGTACTCAAATAGGCAAACTTACAGATACACTTCCATTCAAAGGTTGGGGGTCAGAAAGATTTTGTAATGTTTTTTTTAGGATAAGATGTCAAAAATACATTAAAACAGCAATATTGTGAAATATTCCAACTTAAAATAACTGTTGTGTTTACTATTTGAATTCTGAAATGATCTTTTACTCCAGTCTTTAGTGTCACATGATCCTTCAGAAATCATTCTAATCTGATTTACTGCTCAAGAAATATTTCTTAATATTTTCATTTTCATTGTTGAAAACAGTTGTTTTGCTCAATATTATCGTGGAGACCTTGATACATTTTCTTGATACATTTTACAAGTTCAAAAGAATCTTTTTGCACATTATAAATGTCTTTACTGTCACGTTAGGATCAATTTAATGCAATCTTGTGAATAAATGTATTAGAAAAAACGTACTGACCTCAAACTTTTGAACTGTATAGTATATATAATTTCAATTTATATATATATATATATATATATATATATATATATATATTCACTGTGCTCATTCTAGTGCTTTCTGGGATTGACTTTGGGTGATGTTCCTTAGTTTTTGGCCATACGAACATACAAAATCTTAGACTATTTGGAAAGAAGCGTGTATGATGCTGTTTAGGTAGCTCACTAGGTTATATGACAGAGCTATTATGGGTGTGCAGGAAATGCTTTGTTGAATGGCACCTTCCCTCGCTCTCTCTCTCTCTCTCTTGCTTTCAATCTTAAAAAGGGAATGTTAATGAAGGTTATTTAGCTAATTTTCTGACTCCTCTTGAGGAATTCATTAGACTCACCAGCTTTCTGTTTCATTAGTGCTTTACTTTATTTCGTATTTCTTGAAATATCTCATTTGACATGACCGTCATGCTGTCTGGGCGGTTATTGGCTGTGACAGCCTCACTTTGTATTTTATACTGTTTTTTTTTAAAGAAGAAGTGCTTCTCAATGTGTGAGTGTGTAATGAGAGGGAAGGCACAATCTGTTGCTTTTTTAAATAGTGAGCTGCAACAATGATGTATTTTTTTAAAGCCAAAACCGAGTTAGCATTTTAGCATCCGGTTCCATCGTCCTGATTTTTTTAATGGGTTTTTGGTTAAATGCCTGAAATAAGGTCTGTGCTGAACACAAGCTCAAGATATTTTTACATTTTAATCTAAAATACATCAATAATACCCCTTGAGATTTTGGTAACACAGTATTTTTAATGCTTTAATTATGCCTTGCTTTCCACCTTATAATGCATTGTATGGTCTCAAGAGCAAGTGTAACCAAGTTATAATATATGATAACATGTTATATATATAGTGCAATATAATGCATGACAAACAACCAATTTCAGATGTAACAATTAATCTGCAAATATTATAATTCATTTTAACTTTGGTTACAATTATCTATGAAAAGATATAATGCATTAGGCTGAAGGCTTTAAGCAAAGTGTTACCGAGATTTGTCTTGAAAAAGGGGGTTGCTAACAAGTGGCTGTATATACACTCACCTAAAGGATTATTAGGAACACCTGTTCAATTTCTCATTAATGCAATTATCTAATCAACCAATCACATGGCAGTTGCTTCAATGCATTTAGGGGTGTGGTCCTGGTCAAGACAATCTCCTAAACTCCAAACTGAATGTCAGAATGGGAAAGAAAGGTGATTTAAGCCATTTTGAGCGTGGCATGGTTGTTGGTGCCAGACGGGCCGGTCTGAGTATTTCACAATCTGCTCAGTTACTGGGATTTTCACGCACAACCATTTCTAGGGTTTACAAAGAATGGTGTGAAAAGGGAAAAACATCCAGTATGCGGCAGTCCTTTGGGCGAAAATGCCTTGTTGATGCTAGAGGTCAGAGGAGAATGGGCCGACTGATTCAAGCTGATAGAAGAGCAACTTTGACTGAAATAACCACTCGTTACAACCGAGGTATGCAGCAAAGCATTTGTGAAGCCACAACACGCACAACCTTGAGCCGGATGGGCTACAACAGCAGAAGACCCCACCGGGTACCACTCATCTCCACTACAAATAGGAAAAAGAGGCTACAATTTGCAAGAGCTCACCAAAATTGGACAGTTGAAGACTGGACAAATGTTGCCTGGTCTGATGAGTCTCGATTTCTGTTGAGACATTCAGATGGTAGAGTCAGAATTTGGCGTAAACAGAATGAGAACATGGATCCATCATGCTTTGTTACCACTGTGCAGCCTGGTGGTGGTGGTGTAATGGTGTGGGGGATGTTTTTTTGGCACACTTTAGGCCCCTTAGTGCCAATTGGGCATCGTTTAAATGGCACGGCCTACCTGAGCATTGTTTCTGACCATGTCCATCCCTTTATGGCCACCATGTACCCATCCTCTGATGGCTACTTCCAGCAGGATAATGCACCATGTCACAAAGCTCGAATCATTTCAAATTGGTTTCTTGAACATGACAATGAGTTCACTGTACTAAAATGGCCCCCACAGTCACCAGATCTCAACCCAATAGAGCATCTTTGGGATGTGGTGGAACGGGAGCTTCGTGCCCTGGATGTGCATCCCACAAATCTCCATCAACTGCAAGATGCTATCCTATCAATATGGGCCAACATTTCTAAAGAATGCTTTCAGCACCTTGTTGAATCAATGCCACGTAGAATTAAGGCAGTTCTGAAGGCGAAAGGGGGTCAAACACAGTATTAGTATGGTGTTCCTAATAATCCTTTAGGTGAATGTGTATATATATATATTACACACACACACAAACACACACACACACGTTTTAGTTGGATGTTTGTCCAACATTTTTTAAATGTTACTACTTGTTTCAGATTGTTCAGAGAACATTTAAAAATAAAGCTCCCATAATGTTTCCAAGATTACAAAACGTAACATTCCCTTAATGTTTGCATAACCAACATAGTTCTGAACGTTCAGGCAACATTCAGAAATGATGGTTTTGTAACTTAATGGGATTGCTAGCAAAACATTCAAATCGATGTTAATGTCATGCGACCTTGGTGTAGTTCCTTTATAGCCCACGTTTAGCTTTTTTACTTCTGGCAATTGTGTTTAGGCTTGTTCATTTTCTGAAGATTATCTTGATGAGCAAAGCCATGGAAGAATCATAACTTTTGTTAGTCACAGAGCTTATTTTGTGCAATAACCCAAAAGCCAATGGAAAAATCCTAATGTGTTTTTGTCGAGGGAACCTGGGTGATGCAAACCTCAGGGCTGGTCTTAAAAAACATGTCATCCCTGCAGCGCCCTATACACATTAAACATAGAGGTTCCAAAATTTTTTTTTTTTTGCATCGATGCCATAGAAGAACCATTTTTGGTTCCCCAAAGAACCTTTCAGTGAACAGTTCTTAAAAGAACCCTTTTTCCCACTATAAAGAAAAGTTTAAAGAAACTTTTGTGTAATGGAAAGTTTCCATGGATGTTGCCATCGATGCCAATAAAGAACCTTTATTTTTAAGAGTGTATTATAAACACAGTCACTAACACTGACATCTCCCCTCTTCCTCTTTCAGAAACACAGTGGCATGGTTGATGAGGTTTTCTGTGTGAGAGAGATGACTGCTGCGAAACATCAGGCTGTTGTGTGTGTGTGTGAGTGTGCGTTTGTGTCAGATGCAGGTTCTCTTGGCATGCAGCATTTCTATGAGGAGGTTGTTGCAGGGCACCTCTCCGCTCAGGTGTTTGTAGCACAGGTAGTCTTCGGCTTGCGCGCTCAGCGCTCTGAGCTCGGGAAGGCGTAGCAGGATCTGGCTAAACCTGTCCGGGAATTGCGGATACGCGTACAGTGTGTACTCCAACAGCGCGGCGTTCACCTGCTCGTACACGCTCTCGACGTAAGGCTGGTTTTCCAACAGTTTCACGTCTGCAGAGTGAGAGATGCACCGATAGAGTCTCATTAAAGACGGCATGAGTGGAAAATGGGTTTTCAAGCACTTTCTGAACGCACACAAACACACACACAGCTCTCAGGCACTCTTATTATGAAAAGCAGCTTTTGTTGGAGCTAAATTGCTCTCACTTAAGGGAACGCGAACAATAAAGGAGCATTTTCTCCTGAAGCTGAGAAAGAGAGGGCCACGGCAGCACGGACCAATATGGGGTCAATCCATTAAACTTCTTTTGAGCCGGAGTCTCGCTCTAGACGGTGTGTGTGCGAGTGGATACGTGGTCCGGCTCCCTGCCTTTGTAAACAGGAGCGATTCAGAAGGCTTTCATTTTAATTAAGCCCATTACCCTGTTAGCGCACGGCCCGCGCCACACAAAACACGCCGCCACTCACAACAAATAGCCCGATACACTCGCGTCCTCGTTAGCGTGGATCAAAATCAATGCAATATTCGTCTTTTGAGAAGTTAATTAGCCTCGGTCAAGCCCCAGCGGGGGAAACATAGATACGCTCAATGCGACACGGAGGACGGGGTGACGGTGCCACCGCGGTGGCTATAAAAATGTATTTTATATTAAACTATTAAAACATCAGCAGAAGCGTTGAACGGAGGGAGAGAGACAAAGAAAGAGAGGACATTTCCCACCTCTTCCACAATGATACGAAGGCTCTTAAAGGAGTTAGTTAAGAAGCAAAACTTTTTTAAGGGAAACATTATTAAAAGACCAAAAGACGTGCACAGATGAATAGTTATCGTTCCGTCGGCCAATCACGTTAGTGGAATTTATACGCTTAATAAACCGTCTTTTAGGACTCGGTCAAGGTTAATAAAAAAGTCTTGAATCGAGTCATATCATGGGAAACAGGTTTTTGGTCTTTTGAAATTATAATAAAAAGCTGCTCAATAGACATACTCTTTATGCAACTGGTACTCCCCAATGATTTATGGAAAATAAGCAGGTAAAATCATTTTGGTTATGATGTCACAACTATGAGCACATTAATACACTACTGTTCAAAAGTTTGTTCGTTTTTAAAGACATCGATACATTTATACAGCAAGGACACATTAAATTGATCAAAAGTGACAGTAAAGACATTTAATGTTACATAAGATTGCTATATCTAATGCTGTTGTTTTAAACTAATCCTGGTGTCAAAAAAAAGGTGTCACGGTTTCCACGAAAATACGAAGCAGCAAAACTGTTGTCAACATTGATAATAATTGGAAATGTTGGTTGAGCAGCAAATCATCATATTAGCATGATTTCTGAAGGATCATGTGACACTGAAGACTGGAGTAATGATGCTGAAAATTCAGCTTTGATCACAGGAATAAATTACATTTTAAAATATTAAAATAGAAAACAAAACTCAATAGTAATGAATACTTACTGTATTTTTGATCAAATAAATGCAGTCTTGATGAGCATAAATGACTACTTTCAAAAAATATTTGTAAAAAATCCCCAAACTTTTGAACAGTGTCCACACACACATAGCAGTTTACATGCAAAGACATCAGCCAATCACATCAAAGCTACAGTAATAGCACGTTCTGTCTCACCTGGGTTAAAGAGGATGAGATATTTGAGACAGGCGGTTTCTCTGCGGTCCAGCTGAAGCTCTTGTAGGCGATGCACCAGCTCCTGACCTCTCTGTATCATCCCGCTCAGAGTGACCCCTGCCTGGGCCAGCAAAGACGCCAGCTCAACCTGACCCACACACACATATGCTAAACATCAATTGAGTGGATCCAATGCATATATGTGCATATGTGTCTAGTGTGTGTGTGTGTGTGTGTGTGTGTATGTTTGTGTGTGTGTTACCTCCTGTCCAGTGATGAGAAGCACACTGTCCTCTTTCCCATGATTCAACTGTCTGGCGATGTAGTCCAGCACAAGAAGCTCACTCCAGCAGTTATGGAGCAACTTCATCTGATCGCCCACCTGTGGAGCAGAGAGAGAGAGTGAATAAATGAAAATGGACATGAAATGTACAAATATTTGTGTAAATATGCATTTTCATTATGTACGTAGATTTTTTTAATATGATTATTTATGGAAATATAATTGCTCAGATCCTTCGTAGATTCTATAATTGCTTCAAATCTCTAAAACGTAGTTATATTTATTGATATGTATTATTATTATTTCATTTTATTTCATCACTGTAAAAAATTATTGTTGGTTTCACTTAAAAAGGTAAGTTACCATGGTTGCCTTAAAATTTTGAGTTTATTCAATGAAGGAGATTGGTTTAATGAAAAGAAACTCACAATATTATGTTATCTGAACCACATTAATTATCTAAGTTTATTTGACAAAAGATAAAAAGTTGTGATAACAAATCATGAAAATATTTTTTACAGTGATTGCACAATAATATTTACATTTGTTTAAATTTACATATCACTTATATTTCATTTAATAAGAACATTATTTCATTTGTTTATCTCATCTAAATTTCTAAGATAACAAATGAAATAAAAATGGAAACAAATGAGACAAATATATAATAAAAAAGGATAGAGATGTATAAATATGAAATGAAAAAAGACTATTTGTTGAGAATTTTTTTATTTTTTTGCCAATTATGGTAAATTTAAGCAAAATGTAAGAAATTACTGAAATCTCTTCTGAAACTCTAAAGGAGACAAAAATTGAAAAAGCAGAAGACTTTAGTAAGACTCTATTTGAGGAGAAACAGTTGAGGTATTATGAAATTTGATATTTCCTTTTGAAAGTTAAAATACATGTTTAATACACACACACATAGCCTCACCCACACACATTTCTCAGAGAGCTGCAAGTTTTCCACCCCCTAACATAGAACTGAGTTACTGTATAAAAATGGAACAGAATGGATTGAACCATCATTCAGCCGAGGATGTGATTCAGTGTTCACTCAGTACTGCCCGCTATTGTGCTTCACAGTCCACAGTCCTGTCCAGTACATGTATAATTGGATTGAAAATATCCAGTTATGTGGACGATATAATTCTACAGAGACAACTTTCGGCTCACTGTTGCACACGAGATTCGTGACCCCACAGAAGCCTCCCGGGGCGGCACAGTTAATTGCAGCAGAAACGCACTCGGTATTTTTTAAAGCGCATAGAATTGGACGCTAGATCCATCACTCCCTTTATGCCACACTCCTGTTGCCATGACGAGAGATTGTACCGCACATTCTGCACACAGTGAAGGAAGCTGGAGTCTTGCATGTGCGCATCTGTTGAACAGTGTGTCTGTGTGTCTACAGCAACAGACAAAACACGCACATGTAAGAGCTTTCTATGCAAATGGACGACAGCAATGAATGCTGAGGTGAATGTCATTAAACACTATTTCACTGTACTGTAAATAAATCATTTCAAATCTAAGGAATGGCACAATTTCTGTGTCCCTGAAATCAGCCGATTATAGTCACAAGCAACTAGTGTTCTCAAATATGACACAAAATATACCCAAAACTCCCAAAAAAGGAAGAACGACAGTCATATGTCGTGGAAATTACATGACATGAGGGTGAGTAAATTATGATATTTTCATTTTTAAGCTATCCTTTTAACATCTTGTCATTTGCATACAAATAAATGGAGAACAAGCAAGTAATGCTAGCTTATTAAAGTGAAGTAGGCTAAAGCTAGTGAATGTTCTGACTAGTTAGAATACAGTGACTGAAGCGCTTTTGAAGCAATTCATTTCATACTTGAAAAGAGAAAGCTTTCTGCATTTCCAGCAGCCTTCACGAATAAACATAAAAACACACTTATATTTAAAGGAGAACTCCGGCGCAAAATGAACCTTTGGTCTAATAAAACATTGGTACCTAGTCAACCGTTCTCTGAGATTTGTTTTCATGATAATCGAATGTTTAGCGTATAACGCTAGTAATGGGGGCATATAATAAGTCAAAAGAAATCGCTAGTTTATACCACTAACAAGGCTCAAAATAACCCCACACGAACACAGTAACATAATGAGGGTCTCTACATGCAAAACGAAGCATTGAGAACTTTGTAAGTGTACAGACCGTTTAATAAGAAGATAAAGATAAAGACAGTCCACTTCGTGTATACAGACAGGAGCCATCTTTGGAAAACAGTCTCGACCAATCAAACCACGAACGCCATTCATACAGTTCAGAAGTTCACTGAACTCCATACAGTTCAGCTCACTTAGCACGTCGTTCGTGGTTTGATTAGTCGAGACTGTTTTCCAAAGATGGCTCCTGTCTGTATACACGAAGTTCGTGTGGGGTTATTTTGAGCCTTGTAAGTGGTATTAGCGATTTCTTTTGACTTATTATATGCCCCCATTACTAGCGTTATACGCTAAACAGTTTTTAGAGATAAAACTCTTTACATTCGATTATCATGAAAACAAATCTCAGAGAACGGTTGACTAGGTACCAATGTTTTATTAGACCAAAGGTTCATTTTGCGCCGGAGTTCTCCTTTAACTTGAAGTGAACCGGCTGCTAGCTAGTTTTGCAATGCTAAGAATCAAGCTAGCAAAGTATGATCAAACAACATAGGCCTATGATTTAAAGCACAGTGCCCGAGATTAAAGTAGAAATAAGTTCAGGAATAACGTTCAGTCACATAACAGCAAAACTGGACAACTATGCATTTTGAATGCAAATACATGAATAAATAAATAAAATTGTTATAAAATGATACATAGACAGACAGACAGACGATAAATAAATAAAATTGTTATAAAATGATACATAGACAGACAGACAGACGATAGATAGATAGATAGATAGATAGATAGATAGATAGATAGATAGATAGATAGATAGATAGATAGATAGATAGATAGATAGATAGATAGATAGATAGATAGATAGATAGATAGATAGATAGATAGATAGATAGATAGATAGATAGATAGATAGGTAGGTAGGTAGGTAGATAGGTAGATAGTCATTTTGAAAGCAAATAAATGATTCTCTCAAGTTACTTGTTTCATGTTGACTTTAAAAGTTGTACGAAACATAATGCATTGTGCAAAAATAAGGAATATGCAAGCGTTAGCCACATTCACATTTAAAATCATGTTTGATTCATTGAGCGGCATCCATGTTTTGTTTTTGGTTTCTTTTTGCTTTCTCGTTGTATTTTGTGTGAAAATTTAGCATTTTCTTGTCTAAGGCACCAAGTAATCCATGACTGGCAAAGAAAAAATGGTAAAGAAAAATAGGCTTATTGACTTATCAAAGTGACAAAAAGCCCAAAGAAAATAAATAAATGATACTGAGTGCCACAATAAGGACTTTCATAAAAACAGACTTCCCTTTTGAATACTGGACTTGCAACTTACTACAACCATTAGTGTACTATATTTTCAGTTTGTCCTCAGCGGCATCACTATAAGTGCTGTGTGAAGCCGCTTTTGGAGAGTGTCAAATGCCCTTGGCACCCCGGTGTGGGCTTTTATATGGGACAGAGAAAAAGCTTTACTCTGAAAAGATTATGAGTAAAACAAGACCCTTGTGCATTTCTCAGCAGTAGCTGTTGACTCTGAAATCGCACACACACACGCATCCACATTCACGTCCACACTTGAACACCACAACACTTCCATGTCAGCGCTTTATATATTTTGTAACCCTCATTTATCTGCGATAATACCTGCCCGCTGCCCCAGACTTCCACAACACATCAGGCTTTATTCTTGTAGCTATTTCTCTCTCCGTTGTATCTTTGTGGAATAAACCCGCCTCTTTTTTTGTGTTGCAGGAATTTGGGATTTTGACCCAGAAGGACACACATATCCAGCTGTGTGAATAAAAAAAAAAAAAAAAAAAAAACAGACAAAAGAGGACATAAGCATTGAGAATGCAGTTTACTATAAAAAGTGATCAGTTGACTTCACTTAAAAAAATTTAGGAAATCCGTTGCCTTAAAATGATTAAGTAAATAAAAGCAGAAAACAGTATTTTTTTTAATTATGTAGGCCTAGTAAGATTTCACAGCATAACTGTTTTACTATATTTTTGATCAAATAAATGCGGCCTCGGTGAGCATAAGAATCTTCTTTCAAAAACATTTACCGACCCCCAAAATTTTGAATGAAATGTGAGGCATCAATGTATGCTAGTAGTATGCTATTCTGAACACAGAGTGCTTGTGATGCACACAAACCATCCAAAACATTTGTCAAACTGTCACACACACACACACACACACACACAATGAGGTCTGCATATATTACTCTTCAGACGGTAAATAAACATCCGGCGTGTGTGTGGGTGTGATATGTGTGTATGAACACACCTGTTCAGGTAACAGTGTGAGGTGGAAACAGTCCATCAGCACAGACAGAGGAAGTGATGATGGTATTAGTACTGTAGTGTCCTGTCTCAGTGTGTTTAGAGTCAGTGGCATAGAAACTACCATGGTATTATTATAGCTTAATTATTGTACTTTAGGCCTACATTATAGTTGCTGAAATAGCTTAGCTAAATAAAATAGGTTTATATATATATACTTTTTTTAAATAAGGCATTGTTAATATTCTAAAACAATGACAGAAGAGGCCAGAAATAGCACTAACAGACTAAAAGATTGTATATTTTGTCCAATGAAAACAGTGTGTTTTGACAAGAACACTGACAAGTAAATAATGATGGGCGCTCCTGTTATTTATACTGTGAGACATCTTCTCCTGACCTGTGGTTAGCAGACTCAATCAAACAGATGGAGAAGCAGGAATGACGCCGGAAGACTAATTCACCACTGGTTCCCTCGAGATTTTCATTGTCCGTGTGTGTGTGTAAGAAGAACGGCAAGTGTTACTATGTACTGTATATTGAGTGTGTGTTGTTGAAATGCTGTAATGTATCATTGTGTGCATGCTGAGTAAAATAAGGTCTTGAAACTTGAATTTTGTTCTACAGTGTAAACTGCACACACTCTTAAAATGAAAGTTTCTTCAAAGGTTCTTAGGTTTAGTCTTTTCATTGGGTACTTTGGAGATTAAAAAACATCTTGATGTCACAGTTTAGGTTGTTCAGATCAGAGTATTTCTAAAGAATTACTAAATGAAAAGGTCAGTAAAAAGATGTCCTTATGACATCAGAATGTAAAAAAAAAACACTTTCTAATATAAATCTTTATTTTTTTTAGGAGTGAATAATATTCAAATGAGTAAAACAACTATATTTTCTGGAGGAATCTGATGAATTCAAATGAGAGAGACTTGTTGAATTAGTTGAATTAGAAAAACCTTCACATGCAGGCCAGACTGAACACACGGACACTGCAGCATTCACATTCTCCCCTTATCTGGAGTGGAATGCTGTTGCTAACCCCCACACACGCACACACACACACACACACACACTGGGTTTCCATGTTTTATGAGGACATCCCATAGACATAATGATTTTTATACTGTACAAACATATTTGTTTCCCTTACACTAACCCTTTTGCTAAATCTACCCATCACAGAAAACTTTCTGCATTTTTACATTTAAAAAAGAAGCATCACTTAGTATGATTTATAAGCGGTTTTCCATGGTGACCAAAAAACGTCACCGTAAGTTTTAAAAATTACTGCTATAACGATCTTAGTGAGAACATTTAGTCCCCATAACGTAGGGTTTACCAGGACCGCACACACACACACACACACACACACACACACACACACACACACACACACACACACACACACACACACACACACACACACACACACACACACACACACACACACACACAGGCTTTGGAAATCACACCATTTTTCCTTTGCCTTTTTTTATTTAATTTTAAATATTTTAATAATAATATTTCAGACTTTACTTCGGTCTTCCTATTGTTTTCAAGCCGCTGTTTCCTACCCCTATTTCATCTCTATTTGTTTGTGTGCGTGCGTGCGTGCGTGCGTGCGTGTGTGTGTGTGTGTGTGTGTGTGTGTGTGTGTGTGTGTGTGTGTGTGTGTGTGTGTGTGTGTGTGTGTGATTCAAATGCTGTAATGTATCATTGTGTGCATGCTGCATTGTCAGCAAAGTTTGGAAACACTACAGAGAGAGACAGGAGCTCAGAATGGACAAAAGAAAGGAGTGTATCCTCTATTTCCTCTAAGACAACAAACACACTAGAGTTTATTTAAAGAGTTCTTCAGGACTACCAAAACTCAAGTGTTTTATTTAAAGACCCCTCAATGCCATGGGCTATAATGGACATTATATAGCTCTCAATTTTATGATGCTATTATTATCCATAAAAAAGTAAATGAACCTTCTGAAATGAACCCGCAATATATCGCAGCATTTCAGATTATCAATAAATCCAAACTTTTACAATCAATACAATTTAAATATGAAAGAAATGATCCCTCTTCAAGTCAGATTATGTTAACACAGGATGTGTGAAGATACCGCTAAACCGCCAGCGAGTCAGTCATGGTTTAATAAACTTGTGATGTCAAATAACTGCTACTAAATGAATTCAGCTCAGTATGAATTCCCCAAAAATAGATATTTTTACTTCTGTGATACCCCAGAACTTTTAATTTAGTATTTGCAACTACACATAACTACACAATTGTCCAAAAGTTTGGGGTCAGTAATTGTTTTTTAAAGAAATCAATACTTTTATTCAGGGTGCATTACGTTGATCAGAACTGACAAATGATACACATTATTTATATTTCAAGTTAATGCTGTTCTTTCTATTCATAATAGATTATCATAAAAATGATTATCATGGTTTCCACAAAAATATGAAGCAGCACAACTGTTTTCAACATTGATAATAACAAGAATGCGGTTTTACCGTATTTTCGATCAAATAAATCCAGCCTTGGTGGACTTCTTTCAAAAACATAAAAAAATCTTACCAACCCCAAACATTTGAACTGTAGTGTGTATCAATTTAGTACAATAGTGATTATTATCTAAATTCAGTCTAATATACTCAGTCTTTGCCATTGACACCAGTTTAAACCCTCATTACAATCCAATGCTTCATGTTATTTACGTCATTAGCAGAAAACCACATATACTTGTTCTTTTAAAAATGACCAACGACAAGAACAACCAGAATACTTTCCTCGAATACTTTCCTGTTGACTGAATCACATCAGACATCACTACCATTATAAATGTGACTGAGCAAACACAGCAGGCCTGACTGTTTATCTGGAAACACACACACACACACACACACACACACACGATCCCTGTTCATCCATGTCAGCATCATCTCATCACGCTGACTGCATCCGCTCCGTTCATGCAAACATTATTGTGTGTGTGTGTGTGTGTGTGTGTGCTGATGAGGTGTGCATTACTTTCAATCCTCTTCTAATTCGGATTACAATAGGATTGTGTTCACACTCACCTTGAGCTCCTTAAAGAAGATGCAGCTGCGTGCCCACTCCACGATGGAGAAGAGCGTCTGGTCGGCCATGTGACACATCAGGCCGAAGGTGCTGAGTCGTTCCTGTTTGGCTGCGAGACTCCGAGAGTTCTGTTCCTGCTGCAGGTGGGCCAGGTGAGCGCTTATCTTGCTCTGCACCTGCAGCTCATCTTGCTCACAGCGGACAAACTCCAGAACCAGCGGCGGGACCGTGGAGCCCGGCGGGGCCAGCGGAGGGCTGCTCGACACTCGCGTCTGATCCATGTACGTGTAGCCCGGGACCGATTCTGGGGAGCTGGCGCTGGTGTAGTGCTCTGAGCTTGTGTAGTGGTCGGGATACTCGGACTTGATGGCACGGCCGGGTAGGTTTGGATACGGGTACTGTGCTGGCAGAGGGGCGTGGGCCGGGATTGGGCCGGATAAGCTCAGGGAACTGGATGCGTACAGGCTGCGTTCATAATCGGTGGGGGCCAGCGAGGTGCCGATGTTCAGGTGTGTGTTTTTTTGAGCTGGAATGGAGAGAGCAGTGCTAAAGCTGTAGTCAGACTGTGGTGATGACAGCAAAGGGGGCGTGGCTTCCATCTTTAAGCCGCTCGCCCGGATGAGAGCTTTCTTCTGCTGCTTTAACGCCCGGTCTCGTTTGTACATGGGGCCGAATTTATTTCGCCCTCCTCGCATCCTGTCGGCACGGACAGCTGTGAGCACAAACAATACCGTGTTACATTGCGCTTTAAAATTAATGTTCATTTGTATTATAGTGTTGTTAATAGTAGGCTATTATAAAAGTATTGATGTTATAATTCATCTAAGTAAAAGTTTTATACAAAAATATCAATTAAAAAAAAAATTCTGTAGCCTATGAAGTTCTGTATTAAATGTATGTGTGTGTAATAATTCATAAATTATATATATATATATATAGGCAATATATAGTTCATATGAATACCCGGCTTCAAATTACATTTAATTTCTTGCTTTGTTTCTCGCTTTCAAGTATATAAATAAATAAATAATGATGTATTTATTGAACTGGAAATTCTCTTATATGACATAAAACTGTAAAACCGTTTTTGGTTCTATTTGGACTCTTTGTTTTTAGAAGTGAAAGATTAGGTCGAATGTTGCTTCTTGTCCGTTTTTCTAAAATTCGTCCTTCTATTAACTCACGAGCTAGTTAAAAATACCAATATAGCCTGACTGATTAAAATAGAGCCGTGCTTAAATGAATACTTAACCTTGATCCAGAAGCAGCGCGCGCAGCCGGGAACGCAAATGTGCCCGCAGATAATAGCGACCTTGCAAGAAGCACTGCAAATTATTTTTTTATTTTTTCACTGTTGATTTTTTTTTTCTCTGGTCTTTTCTCTTATTTTAAATCTACATCTGAAACTAATCAACCGGCTGCAATGTAATTTAAATTCTGATTCGTTTTTTTAATCTTTTTTTTACAGACTGTTCTGTTTAGGCATAAGATTGTCTTTATCGTGGGTATATAATACATGTACATTTTAATAATAAATAAGATAGTAAAATAATAAGAAGATAGTAAGCAGTATAATAAAAACAAACAGCTCTAAGAATGAAAAAAAAAAGTATGAACAATAGCCCATTTTATACGAAATTATTTACAAATGTAATCCCTTAAATAATTGATTATTATTTGACCTCCAAATATGTTATATAAATTTCAGATGCAGTTATGCTGAAATGAATTTGAGATGAAACTGTTCCGCTCACCCTCCAGCCGCATCCCGACGTTGAGACATTTCTGGAAGCGGCAGAATGGACATCGTTTCCTCTGGGTTTTATCAATCTTACAGTCTTGACTCTCTGCACATGTGTACCGTTTGTTATTCTGTACGGTCCTCTTAAAGAAACCCTTTATCATGAAAAAAAAAAAAAAATACTGTTAGCCTACGTTACGTCAAAGGTAAAATCAAAACAATAAATAAATAATATGTTCAAAAATGCAATTCTTCAGAAAAAAATTTAATTACCATGGTAGCTTTAAAATGAACATATACATTATTAATTTGTTCGCAGTGATGGAAACATCCAAATAGCCTAATTTATAAATAAATAAACACGCTATAGGCTATATATAAATCATCATAAAAAAATCTAACATTTGATACAATGTCAAAAATGAAACTGCATCTGTCAGCTTAGAGCTGTTTCTTCACCTGACCCTCAAAATTATAAATAGCCTATGTTAAATTAAATATTTAAATTAAACAAACGATTCTTAATTGAACAAAACAAGTGAATCTAATCACATAAATTACTACATTTTAAGTCACCTAAAACAGATGGAAACTGTCTAGGCTGATTTATTACCTTGCAGCTCTCGCAGGTTAATAACCCATAATGATAACCAGAAACTTTATCCCCACACACCGGACACAACTCTTCCAGGTCCGTATCATAACTGTAGTCCATCCCGCCCCGCCGAGCGCCTGCGCACACACACATAAACACACACTGCTAAAAGAAAGGTTCTTCAGCGGTTCTGCGAATAACCTTCCTCGTATCAAAAACGTTATGGTTCTTTGGAAATTAAAAATGTTCTTGCAGTTATACATTATTCATTTCTGGACCAGAACATCGATGGATTTCCATGAAACTCTGGATGGAACTAGATCATTTAAAAAAAAAAATATATTCTAATATATATTCTGTCGGTTCTAATTGGAATCTTTATTTTAAATGTGAGCTGATATAAAAAAAAAAAAAAGAAGAAGAACAATACGGCCTTGAAAAGATCGCATTAATAAAGCAGCTCATTTAATTGATAATTCTAAGTGAATTTAAAGATGTCATTATAGTTGACATTTTAGCAGGATGGCATTGTAATTTCTGTCTACGCTTAAACTGATTTTTAGCAGTAGGCTACATGTTTATAAAATCACATCACATTAAATGAACATGAAAATATTACATCGGCATCATTTAGTGCATTTAATTGAGCAATAATAATAATACAGCCTATTTGTACTATCGTGTTAAATATTAATAGCCTATATTACAGATGCTGTCATAAACATGGCTAGCCTATGTGATTTAAAAAATATAACTTTAGGCCTACTAATAGAATAATCGTTCTTTCACGTTGTTTGGCTGGAATGCAAATGGGTCCAAATGAAGTCACGAAAGCATGTGATGTTGAAGTGAAAAAACTGTTACCTGTCAGTGACTCCTGCTCCTCTGCGGTGCTTCAGTGCTGCTGATCTCTGCGCGAGGAATTTAATCACTAGAGCCGCGAACCCGCGCGAGCCTGCCGGTTCACTGTGTGCGTGTTTCCCCGGTAAAAACCTGCGTGATGTCTGCGAGGACAGCGCGAGGGCAGCAGCTCTTTATTAGTGTTTGGCCTCGTGCGTTCACATAGTAGACATGCCCTCATATTCGCGCGCACGCACACACATACAAAAAAGGAGTGAATGAGCGACAGGAAGAAGCGCCTATCTGCAACAGGTACTGGGGATGGGGAGGAGACATGAAAACGTTTTAGTTCAAATTAACGCTGAATAATTTCTGATTGAAACGAACTCTTATATGAAGACACCTACCTGAGCAAACATAGCCTACTTAAATCAACACTATAAAAAAGGTTGTTTCCTTAAGTACAAGTCATCTCAAGTCATCTCAACTTAATTTACACGAAACTGACTTAAAAAAAAGGATTGAACTTATAAAAAAAGTTGAAAATTGCTTAGGCCTACCTTATTTTGATGAGTTAAAGCAATGTCAAAACATATGTTACTTATTGATCATACAATGTTTTAGTGAACGTGTTAACATTATTTTTGTTGTGTTAAAATAAAAAAAAACATAATGTGCACAAACAATCTTAAAGTAACCTTACATTGATTCATTATTATATTAATTATTTATAAATAGCATTTGCACACTCAATGGTCCAAAGCATGCATGAATTTGAAAAATGTTTGCTCAAAAAAAAAAAAAAGCTTCCAACACGGTTTTTTTTTGTTTTTCTTTTCTTTTCTCGCAGCAATGCCATCGACGAACTATTTTGGGTTCCTCTAAGAACTGGTAAGTGAACAGTTCTTAAAAGAACCATTTTATTTAGTGAATAACATTTTAAAAATCTAAATAACCATTTTCCCTAAAGAGCCTATAGCCTGTAGGCCTAATTGAAAGGTTCCATTGATGTTAATGGTTCTTTATAGAACCACTGATACCAGTAAATAACCTTTATTATTAGAGTGTATAAAAGCTGAAAGATCAAGATCCACGTGACATTCAAAAGCAGTGAATTAATACGCTAATAGCAGCCCAATGACAGACTGTGATCTGATAGCTGACATGCTTTAGTTCAACTCTTAAATCAAAAGTTGTCCATTATTATTATTTTGACGTACATGACCCGTCATGCAATCGTTGAGATGTATGCATAGCCTACTTACAAAAATAAAAATAAAATACATTTTCTGATTGACCCCGTTAATTATTTTTTGGTATAGCCTATCATAAAGGTTTATTGAAATGCTATACTAACATTTTTACTTTCTTTCTTTTCTCCCATTAAAAAGCAGGTTGGATCTGTCTGATGACTGACGGTTCTCTCCCAATGCATCATCATCTTCATCACAATCATAACCGACTAATGGATCCCAATAAAGGTTTCCAGGCGACCTCTGATTACATTCGCATTTAACCAATAAAATAAGAATAGGCCTACAGATAAAACGAAAAAAGAGAGATATCCTACCCATTTCAAAGACGGTAAACTATCACGGAGTTATTATGACGTATAAGGCTCGAGCCTTTTTTTATCAGGGCATTTTTTTCTTTTATGTTTTGCCTGAATTTCAAGTGCAAAAATGGCCACAGTTAAAACATTTCGATTAAAACTGAGGAAGATTTTTCTTGTGAAATATTATAACATTAGTGGTGTCAGAAAATTAGAGAATGTCCCCATTAATTTCACTATCAAAAGAGAAAGTGTCCCCTTGAATCACGCATATATATATATATATATATATATATATATATATATATATATATATATATATATATATATATATATATATATATATATATATATATATATATATATATATTAGGCTATTCAATTTAATGAAGTAATCGGCATTGGTTTTCCAATCGCACACAAACGCTCACACGCGCAAACAAAACATCTTTCATTCTGTGACTCCTGCACACGAGTGTCTCCATATGGCGCATTTCCCATCAGTCATTGTGCTTCTTAATCAATAACGAACACGAAACACCGCGTGCAGAGGTGCTGAAGATCGCTCTCCATCACAGACACGTGGAACATGTGTGCGCACAATAAAGACAATAGCTGACGGGCCCACTTTAATTTCTCATTAGCATATTAATTAATACACTTCAGGAAATATTTGAGTAGCACAGATCAGAGTGTGAGTGCCAGAACAACATCCGAACTAAAACATAGGTCATATGTCACCGTTTGATCAAAATAATCACATCTGTGACTGCAGGACCAATTGTTTCAATTAGACCTGAAATTCTTTGTTTCCCTGAAACTTCCTTTTGTCAGCCAAAATATACCCCCTCCCCACAAAAAAAAAAAAAAAAGATAATCACCGTAAAAACTGAATTCTTTCAATTGTGAATGTTGAAGTGAATGGTGTCTCCTTTCATTTATAAATAAATATATAGCAAAAAATAATAATTATACAGATATTTGATCATATTATTAGAATAAACTATTTATTTGTTTAAAAGATTTATATTTTATACATTATTTTATTTGCCTATTTATATTTTACATGTGGATTTTATATATTAAAGCATACAATCATCATAATTCTATAATTTATTATCATGTATCACTGTTATTGTACTGGCCCACATCCAAACATTTGCTATAGCTCCAAATAAAATAGAAGCAAAAAATAAAAATAAAATATGTTTTTACATCATTATTGTGTTTGGCACATTATTATAATTCAATATATCAATATTAGCCACACCCACACATTTGATAACCAAAAATGCTTTGGCATACTTCACTATAGTGTTTAGTGCTTATTAACCATAATTATTACATTTGGATCATAATATAACATAACTATACATATTATATTGGCCATTTATCATCACATTGAAAAGGATCTATTTAAAACCACCTAAAGCAGTGACAAAGTCTAAGAAATATTAATAAAAAGCCGAACAGAATTGGTTATTATTGAACTGTCATGCACGACACATGGTTCCCATTCACTGACGGGATAGATGTTCATCTCCGATAGATATTTTGATCTACAGTCTGTCGATCAAAATATTCTTAAAAATGAAACAACAATAAGAAAGAAAAAAAAAAAGATAAAGACTTTGTTCGCCCCAACAAGGTCGAAACCCTGAACGTCCAATGGAGTTGTCACTTCTCACATAAGACCTGAACATCGCACCTGATTTTATTCAGGAAGAGAGGAGAGAAAGGGGAATAAAGAGAGATTCAAAAGAGTCTTTGTAGTCTTTGACCTTCGTGGCCTTTCCACCGACATGACTCAACTATAGTTGAATTAAAATGATATTCCAGGATAAAAGATGAATAGCTGAAGAAAGGAAAAAGAATGAGAATTAAAGGGGGAAAAGCCCGAAAAAGGACTCGCTTTCATTTAGTGCATTCTGTTAAAAGTGAGATTTAGCTTATATAGAAAGTATTCCTCTCCTTGTATTGGTCTATAGTATCTCTATATACTCTACACTTGCAGAAGTGTAATTGTGTTTACCAGGGTGTGTGTGGGTGAATGTGATTTCATCGAGTGCAACATGTTCCTGGATCAACATCTTTGTTGCTCCTGAACAATCAACCAATCAGATTTGAGGGACAAGTTTACAGTTTATGTCATGTTCAGGCTTAGAACCATGGGTTAGGTGCTTTTACATCAGTTTTATTCACTGTAATTCAGGTTTTTCTTGTGCTTAGTGATGACTTATGGGTAGGGTTAGGTTTAGGGGCATGGATCTGGATAGGGCTTTTTATGGTTATGAAACGATTAGAACATTTTCGGAGAGGAATGTTGTTCCAGGATCAACAAAATATGTTGATCCAGGAACATGTCTGTCTTGGCAAAATCACGGTGATCGGTGTGTGTGTGTGTGTGTGTGTGTGTGTGTGTGTGAACATGGTGGTCTGTATTCGTATCTGTCCTTCACCTGCACACACTTTCTCTACACCACACTTCTGAAGATTGCTTTCCAAATACACACACTTACACATGTCAAGTGTGTTAAGTATGTAGGTCTATAACAGCAGGATCTTGTCACTCCATCATTTGCGTCACGTAAATTGAAAGCAGCTTTTTTTTACGCTCACAGAATGGAAAACTAGTCTTTGTTTACACAAAGTTAAAAGTGAAAACATGCAGGACTCGATCTGACCTTTAGAAAGTGACTTGGTTTTGTTGATGTAACCTCCAGGTTGATTCACACACACTGTATTTTGACCAAAACCAGCTCATTTAGAGATTTCCACACAAAGGATTCATGGAGGGTTAGACATTATGATTTTAATAAATGTAAGCATATACACTGAATATGTTTCTATAATTGGATACTGTTTATAGCCTAATGTCTACTACAATACACTGAGGTGCAAATAGATAATCAGACAGACAGACAGACAGATAGACTATGGCAAGCCATTTTAACATTTAATCCTTAAAACCTACTAGTATCTATTTTTATGCTACTAGTACTTATTTACTAGTATCTATTCCATTAAGTAGTAGTGCTTATTCTTTAGTATAGTGCCCATCCTTTAGATACTAGTATATTTTTAAAAGATACTGCTAGTTATTCGTTAGTTCTTATTTTTTAGAGACTTGTACTCATTCATTAGATGTACCTATTAAATAGACACACTAGTATCTAACAAATAGGCACTAGTACCTAAAAAATAAGCACTAGTAGCTAATGAATAAGTACTCGTAGCATGAAAATAGATACTAGTAGGTTTTAAGGATTAAATGTTAAAACAGCTTGCCACAGACAGACGGACGGACGGACGGATGGATGGATAGATGGATGAATGGATGGTGTGGTAATGTGTGTGTTAGTGAGTGTGGCATTAGTGCCCCGGCCCTGAGATCTGTTCTGCAATGACGTAAAATATTTCACCCCAAGTCCCTCAAAACCTTGAGCCTGTTACACAGCTGATTTCAAACACTCTAATTTGTATAACACACACACACACACACACACACAACCATATAACTGACTCTGCCACGAGCCCTAAAACAGCCACGTGTGCCTGTGTGTGCATCAGGAGTGTTTAGTGTGTGAAGGTCTCTGTGTGTTTTAGTTTCTTATCTGAGCCATCAGGAGTATTTCGAACGTTCCGCACAGATAAGATTACTCATGTCAG